CTAATTATAAATATTATGTATACATTTATTTAACTAAATATGTGGACATAAAATAGTTTACCTTTCAATAATGTTTTTATACACCAGAATGTATTAAAATATTTTTAATGTCACTCATAATAATTTTTTTTTTTAGTGCATTAGTGCAATTAATTTAAAATTAATTTGATTGAAAGTAAATTACTGCTGTTGTTCTATCTTTACTTTAAGTAAAAATGTATAAACATTATTGGTAAATGATAATGTTTACTTTGACCTACATATTAATGAAAATTGACTAGTTTTGAAATTAAATGATTGTCTAGAATTATTAAGAAGACCAAGTACCCGCATTTGTTGTTTTGCTCACACATAACATACAAATCTACGTACCAGATTTTTACTACCATTAATTATTTATCATTAATATTATTTTCAAATTAACATATCATCAAATTTGTAAGAGAGTATAATATACACTGTGCCCATATAGGCACAATTAATATCTCGTAAGTTTATTCTAATATTCATTATTAATAAACTGTAGTAATAATTAGTTAAATATTATGTAGTCTTGCTGTTATATTCATGCAAAGTTTAGTTTTAGTTAATTTTTTAAATAATTTAAGAACCTTACTACATATACTACATAGTTTAATGGTTATTGACATAACTTTAATTTTTCAGTTTTATAGTTTTATTCATTAATTACTTTGTTTTCATGGATTTATGTAAGAAATAATCTAATACTTAAGTGTTAGTTAAAATATTATTCCGAGGTCATAGGTAAAACTTGGTTATAAAAAAAATGGTAGCAATGTAGTTCAATCACATTATAAATTCATTACCTATGATTTTTTTTTTTTATTATTTGCCCATAGTATAATTTAGATTAGATAAAACCTTATAGCGGATACACACAAACACAATTCAACTTACTTATTTAGTAATTGCTATTTTAAGACCATCCCAACCACAATCAGTTGTATGTCTAAGTTTCTCAAGATCTGAAATTGGTGTCCAACACTTAAGTACTTAAAATGATAAAAATTATTATTTAAAATTGTAGGGAAAAATAAAGATGTTATGTTCTGGATTATAATTAATAATGAAATTATTTTATTTTATTTTTTGTTAATATTTTTGTAATTTATCAGTTAAAGCATATACACCAACGTCTCACCAACAATTTCTTTATTTTTTAAATTGATTTTTAAATGTATTAAATGAACAAATATTTTTAATAGCAAAAGAGATATTATGAGGGCTATTTCCTCCCTTAATTCAATCACTGCTCATCATTTATGTTCATGTTGCTCACTCTTAAACATAATAGTGGAAAGTATGCAATATTTTACAAAGTTTATTTGAAATTCAAATATTACTTTATATATTATACATATATACATAATTCATGTGCTTAATAAATTTATAACACACCATTGAAATCAAAATCAAGTATAATTCTATTTTATTAACAATATCATATAATTATATTATTTTATAGTACCAATCCATACAAACTTATAACTACTCATCATGAATTAAGATATACTTAATTCGTGTTTTTTTAATAATACACCTTTAAAATAATAGTATAATAATGGAATATTTATGTTTAGCTGATCTATAGAAAAATAACAGTTATTATATGATATTTCATTATACAATTATAATAGGATTTATTTTCTTATCTCGATTAATTACATGAAGAAATTCAATAAATTAATACATTTTGTTTTCTAGTTTTACTGAATACTCAAAATATTATATAAAGCACTTAAACCCTGTCAATGAAAATAGTAAGTACCTATAAAATATAAATAATAAATAATTACAAAACTTAAATGAATAAATTACATTGTAATTGAGCATTTCCTACAAAACATTTATATTGTAGTACAAATATAAAAAAAAAAAATCACCGTGTACAACAATGCATATAAAAACAATTATACCAATAATAATAAAAAAAAAAAACAATTAGTTTAATAGTTACCCCAAAACATTGCTTTTTTTTTAAATTTATAAAAATGTGTAAAACTGAGTAACATAAATTCTCCAACAACATGTTAGACAGACCAAAGGTAAAAATATGTTTCCTGCCATTGTTTCATGTATTCTAGGAAAGGACGCATTAATGGACCAACCAATGGCACTGAGTTAACAAACCAATGTAAAAATAAACGGATGTGTTTTTCTGAATAGTTTTCAAAGAATGGTGATCTGACCATATACATGGCCAAATTTAGCGATCGTTTTGACAACACCAAACGTTGTTGAGGTGTTAGATTTTGAATTGACTTTAATCTATGCAGACTAAAACAGAAAAATAATAATTAAAATCAAAAAAAATTAAGATTAATTCAAATATTTACAAGCATTATTCATCAATCATCAGTTTACACAACTATTACCTTATATATTCAATTGTTATGGAAATCAACCAAGGCTTCCACGATTTCTCACCAAAAACGCACATACTGCCCAAGTGAACAATTGGTTTCATTATATACATTGTCTAAAATAATAAACAATACAACATTTAAAAGCTTTAATATTACTAAAGATTATCAGAGAAGTTTTTTAAATAAAAATTAATTTGATTGACTTATAATTAACAATGAATCGAATCATAAAAAACAATTTTATCAGAGTATGAAAATAAGTATTAAGTTATTTTTATAGAGTTTAAGCTTTATTAAACTAAAATATGATTTAATTTCAACCATGCATACTAACTTATTTAAAAGTCACCCTTGACTAAGCTGCAATATAGAAATTATCCTCCAGTTAGCTACACTCAAATACTTAACACCTATTACACAGCCGAGTAAATTAAAACCAGTGTAATTTACTACAATTATTTTAAATATTTTATTCTTGATGTTTCCAATATTGTTTATTCAAAACATGGATGTAAATAAAATAATGTCAAGCAATAAAATCTATTTCAGTGGATTCCAAACTGTTATTAAGTGACTTTATAATTTAGATTTTTTTATGGAATCTACCCAATTTTTTTAATTCTAACATTAAACATAAACATTATTATTAATTGGTATTTTTAGGTATAAATACAATTGAACATTAATTTTATATAATGTATGTTTTACATATTTTCTATTTTCGGACGCACAAGCATTTCATATTTTATTGCATTAAAAAATCACAGCTCTGATGACAATTATAATAAATCCACGTTGACGATTGAAATAAGTAATAGTTAAAAGCTGTACGAGACTAAACTCTAAGCTCTAAGGCATCTTTCTTCGAATCGATTCTACGTCAGATTATCATAACAACTAATGACGATAAATGATAATAATATAATAATTATGTGTTGAGCGTTGTACCTCCGCCACGACGTGTTTGTCACTCAGAGTCTTGCCGGGAATGCCGCCGAGCTTATTTGCCCTCGGAGGGGCTTCCCACGTGCGTCGGTTCATCGGAGGGGCTGAAAATGGAAACGGAAAACGGTCAAGTATTGAGGGCGTTATCGAGAATTAATAATAATAATATTATGATTCGACAACGGCGTATTTTATTGTATTACCATGGTCCAGTTTGCGAATGGTCCGTCCTGACGGTAGCGTTATGACATCGTCGAGGGTGTCATTATGTTTGAGTCCCACAGATTTTCGATCCAAAGGTTGTATGGGGGGCGATTCGAGTATGTGGAGCTTGTGCACGTGCAATAGGTACAGGCGTGCCATGCATCTGTAAAATTTAGTCGTCGCGAAAAGCGTTAGTAAGACTAGTAAAACGACTAAAACGTATACAAAAATAAAATATTTTTTATACATGAATTATTAATTAATATTGTAATTATTATGTACAGCGCGACTTGCAAAGATACAATACTAAACTGTTTCGATATGGTTCGATTTTCTATATTTTTATAAAATTGTTTAAATGTTTAATTAAGTGTACCTATCTTGCCTAATAATTATTGTATTGTTTTGGCGTTTGCGTTTCCAATGACATTTCATAACGAAACAATAAATAATAATTGAAAGCTATTAGTTACAGCAATACAATTGTAATATGACATTGGGAATTTGAGTAATATTGAGCTATATATTTTCTAGTGAGAACTATTAATCGAAATATACCTAAAACAGAGATACTTGCTTACCGAGTAAGCACATACGCGGAAAGTCGAAATACCATTTCAAGGATGAGTGAGGTATTTACAAATGTTAACAAATATACATAAATTAAAATTTACAAGTTTAAAGTTATAACGTATAAACTTAATATGCTTATGTAAAACATTTCTTTTTTTTGTTTTTGAAGGAGCGATAAGTAGCCCTAGAAACTTTCGATACGCACGTGCAGCTCAGTGCATTTACTGTTTTTGCATACACACTATGGTAAGATATTACGGAGACTGTAATGATTTAAAAATAGCAGACTAATAACTGATGTCGTAACATAAATACTATTAAATAATATTTAAATATTAACACAAGGTATACGTCAAAGTCAATATATCCCTAACTAAATAAAACTATGAACTGCAATACAAATGATAATATAGGTCAAAGGTATGAATATCGAGTCAATTTTGAACCATCTTTGACATTTTTATGAAAGCTATTTGTTAATAATTTAAACACGTTAAGAACGTATTGATATAACATGTAGACATGTAGTAGGTAGGTATGTAAAGAAATTGAATAATATGCTAGGCGTGAGTGTAAGAACGAATATATTATTATCGAACAGATAATGAAAAATAAGCATTCATAACATTTGGTATCTACACCTACCTGTTTAGTTACGATTTAGCACCAAAACGACTACCTACAATATTATTGTACAGTAAAATTGTACAATGTACAATAACTGAGAATCCTTCAAAAACAATACGTTTTTAAAACAAAATTTGGCAACATTCAAACATAGTATATTTATATACAAATATTAAATAATAATCAATATCCATCCCACGTTACGAGACGATTATAACATTTATAACCATAAGTGAACAGTGTTGTTATGTGAGTTACAAGTGGTAGTATACTAATATCATTCGGAACGCTCTGTACACAGTGCGCGCTGACAACGTTTTAGATAAGACGAAACAATTTAATCAACCGGTTACAACTAACAAGTTGCAATCAGAACAGTTTTGAATACAATTAACTACATAGTGAATATTGAATTTTGATTAATAGGCAAGTTATCGAATTAAAAAAATTTAAGGAGGCTATGTGATAATGGCCTACTACATGACCATACATTGTTTTAATCGACTAACGAATAAATTAAAATAAAAAATTTGAAAACTATAAACGTTTAACTTTGATCTACACAGGTGATTTGGCCATTAAAATCATAAGCAAAATAAAACCAAACGTAACGCAGTGAAAACCGACAGTAATCATTCATATTGGTAGAATACAAAATCATAGTCAACATCAAACACTAAAAATGGCATCTTTTTTTAAGTGGTACAGATTTTACAGCCACACATATCCAGTAAGGACCAATCTCGTTCAAACGGGTATGTAACCGGTGTAACACTGAGTATAAATATAATCATTATAGATATTATAATTTATTTTAGGTCTATTGTTCGGCGTCGGGGATTTAATGGCCCAGAGCGCAGTAGAAAAACGTAAACCCGATGAAATCGATTGGTTACGTACAGTTCGTTATGCATCTATTGGGTGTGCGGTCGGACCAACACTTACTATGTGGTATAAAACATTGGATAGATTAGGAACTAAAAACACAATACCAATAATAGCTAAAAAAATATTAGTTGACCAAACGATTGCATCACCAATTATTAATGGAGCTGTGATGATAATGAGTAGAGTGTTCAGTGGTGACGAATGGCCACAAATACAAGATAAATTAAAAGACAACTATGTGAAAGTTATGCTTACTAGTTACTTGGTAAATACATTTAATGCAATTTTTTTTCAATTTCTTATCTTACGATTTTGTTTTTTTAGATTTGGCCAGCTGTACAGACATTTAATTTCACTATTGTTCCACTACAATACAGGGTCTTAACAGTACAAGTAGTATCATTAGCATGGAATACATATCTTTCATTTATGAGCGTTGGTGGTGGAGAAAAATCAAAATAAGCATCATATTAAAAATTATTTGTCAATGCATCTAAGGATGTATAATTTTGTTAATTGATTTAAATTTCTAAGTTTATTTTATGTATTATCATTTTAAATATATATATATATATATTTGTTAATAATTTTCTTTTAATATGAATCTAATATTTTCTTATATTCTTTATATGAAAAACTATGAACGTATAATTGTAATAAAATATGTTGTAATATTATCATATATGTTATTAATAAAATTGGTTGATCTTTCATTTTTGTTTGCGTACAAATAAAATTGAATTAATGCATAGAAATGTGAAGTAATTTTAACGTGGACTGTACAGCTAAGAACGCAGCGCATCTACAGAAAACCATAACAATCACATAGGCATCCATAATTATTTGTAGACCTTAGCTGATATGGAGTATGTCTAAGAGGTAAATAAAAAAAAGAGAAAGTTTAATAATCGAATAATTACTTTACAGTCTGCAAGAGCACAATTATAATCCATCGTCCTTTGTTACCCCATAGTTTTTTAGCAGATACTTCTATGAACACTTCAATATAATCCACAGTGGTAATGAAACGCTTGATATTTTCAGAGCTAAATATTTTTTTCTTTCCTTTATCACCGACCGTTACAGAGTTCGTTTTGGCAGTGCTTAGTATAATTTGATCATTAAATAACATCATGAAGTTGGACATGGAATATATGAGCTCGGACAGTAATGTCGAGTTGTTGATACGACCTGCAATAACGTGCTAAGCTATAGTGAATAATTGGAATACATGGTTTATAAACAAAATACCAGCTAGAAAGTATGATATCCATTTTATTGAAGCTTCTAGATCAGTTGTCCGATCTGGATTTGCACTGACCCAGTTCACATAATGTTTATACAGTACTCTTAACGTAGGTATAGATAAATTTTCCATTTTATATTAATTATTAAGTCGTTCGCAGCCGATTGTTTTGGCAAAAATTTAATCAGCAAAAACAAAAGAATGTAAAGTGTAATTCACAGTACGAATTGTGTGTTGTTATTGTACATTTTTTTGAATCTATGTGGTCGACGACCGACGTTGTTGATTATACAGTACGTGCGTGAAGTTAGCAATAATGTCAGTTATTGATAAGGAAATCTCATATCAGCCATGGCCGATTGGTACGATGAGTTGCCTATAGTATGCCCCTAGCCAAAATAATGCACACGCATTATAGAAATCCCGACTAAATAATTATTGTTATTCAATTGTAATACTTTATCCTAGTCCCTAGACAGAATTATGGCCTTTAAATTATAAAATAAATATTGTTATTAAATATATAATATCTTATAAATCAAGTTCAAACTAATACTTATCCATTTTTTTTTTTTTTTTTTTTTTTTAAGTGAAGTAAATAAATACAAAAAAAAAAAAAGAGAAAAAGTGTTAGTGTTTTATTTAATTTTCAAACTTAGGTAGGTACTTAATATAGATTCGTGTTACAATGAATTAAGTTATTTTTACTTAAAAAAAAGGTCATTTTATATTGTATGTTAACATGCATTGATGTCACGAAATTACCTGTATACAATTTTGTATTTATACTAGAATAACAAACCTTTATGGTTAATATTAAGTTTTATTAATTGTGTAATGTGTCTTCAAATTTAATATTTTATTTTATTTATAGTAATTAAATTTAATGAAATTTTGTTTCTTAGAAACACTGCCAAAATTTGACTAAAGATCTACACGCGTATTAAAGGAGATATGTTTTTATATAAAATCGTACTATAATAATGTATAATTAGAGAAATAAAAGATTTTTATTATTTTGATTTCAGTTACGTCAATGCAAAGTATGTATTTAAAATCAAGCTATCCCAATCATCTATGGGTAACGACCGATTAACTATTACTGATTGAATTAGATATATTGAAAAATAAATTGAATAAATTATCAGATGGTAAACGGCCATTGGTAGACTAGAAAGATGTTGAACTTGATACCATTCTTGTAAGATGTGGAAATGTTCAAGAGCGCTTAAAATATGTCGAACATCAACGTATTGCAGAACCTTGAAAAATAATTAATTTTCTTGGAAAATAATATATTATAATATAATCACTTTTTTTCATAAAAAAAAAGTTTAAAATGTGGGTTACTCGTTTTCGTTTGTCTAAAAAACATAGAAAGGTTAGTAAAAAACATGGAGCGTTCAAGATCAAAATGGGACTTCTTGAAAGTAATAAGAATAAACGATTTTATGTAGTATTATACATTAGTATGAATTTAAATTTTACTAAACACGTGTTTGTGTGTTTGCGTATGTGCTGGAGAGCTAATGAATAACTTAATGTTAATTATTGAAATGGATGAAATATCGGACGTTGGAACTAGCGAGGCTATAAAGTTGCGGATCTGCAATTTACTCGTGATTCAACCAGTTTGGATTTGCCATCCAAAAGTTACCCACTGCTTCATGTTCACCGACGTTGGTCAGTGTGTCACATAAGAAATTGGACTCTTCTCCAGTCTCAAACAATGAACAAATCTATTATCGTATTTCGAGAACAACTTATTTATTGAAAAAAACTGTCGTCTTGAAGCTACTCGGAGAGTAGAAAGGTAAGAAAACCGATCTTTGCTTCAAAACAAAAGTTAAAATGAGTTATAAGACATAAGAAGAATGTCATTATATTTATAGTAAATAACTCTTGTATTTTAATATAAGCTATTTTATTTGTGTATAACTATAATAATTATCGAATTTTATAGAATATTCACAAAAATTGTATCGTAATAAAGTCTTTGAATTTAGTATTTATCCTGATAAATGTTTAAAGAGTTCAAAAATCCCGGAAAAAATAAAATTGTATAATTTCGATGGTTTTGCAAAGTATCTTTCTACGTTTCTAAGTTTATTTATTAAAATTGTTTTAAACGTACGCATTAACAATCAACCTCATCATGAGGTCCTGATTTCTTCAAAACAAATTAGTTGAAAATTATGGAAATATTTAGCTACTGTCATATAGTTTTTCATGATTACCATAACCTGCAATTGTGGTTTTGTGTAAGTATTCTCATTTTGTATAAAGTTTTTTTTCTTATTCTCAATTATTTTGCTAAGTATCAAAGAAATTTATATTTATTCATTCAAATAATAAATATACGTCAGTTGATATAATAAGAAATTAAACCTAAATACGAGTATACATGTATAATTGATGGTCGTAAGCTTTAAATTACATCAGTTACATGGACTGTGCCTAATCCCATAATTGCGCAGTGCGTAATATTGAATCATATAATAAATAAATACGAAAAAAATGATTAGATTGTATCCGTCATTCAAACGGTTAAAGACAACTAACAAAATCAGTAATTAATGACATAAAATTAGAAACGAGCAAATGAAATGAAAAAATCTTAAAACAAACACTCGTAAATAAAGAGACATTGGCCATTGGCCATGCTTATTGTTAATTAGGAGGTGGACAGCAACATACGTGTTGTGTTTCAATACATACTAATATAATATGCATAATGCATATATATTGACACTATTAACAAACACTATGAATAAATCACGTTTAAGGTCCGAACATACCTCACCCTCTTGACTTGAAAGGAGCAGGACTATCAAGACAATTATGGTACTAAAACGTATTTGACTTGATTTTATCAAGTTCGATATCCAATATTACTGTTAAGGAATAAGGATAAATATTAATTTAGATATTGCATTTAATACTATCATAATGAATATATAAATGAAAAAAAAAAAAATTCAATTTTTGAAGTAATGATTGATATTTATTATAAGAAGCAAAACTTACCAAATAAAAAAACTGTCCCTCTTTTTTTTTTCGTGTGATTAGGTATATCTTATTATATTTTATGAAAATACAAGAATTACTGGCTTATTCGGCGCAACGTATAGGCAATTTGGCTACATTGCTGCGCAGATCAACAAAATAATTTTAAAATGTATTGTCGACGTGTAATAACTTAATATTATAATATTATGATTAATAATAAGTGCAATAATTTTGCTTTTTGATATTATTACGTACTATGTCTTTTCGATTAATGGTTTCAAATTTTGACATAACGTCAGAATGATTTGATCAAATTTCGATCAAAATAAAGTTACGTGTATTTATTTCTCGAACTAGTTTGCATAATATACATCATAACCTGTAATAGTGACTCACGATGAGGGTTATAGTTTATGGCGGTAATGAAAATTAATAAAACACAAATAAATATTTTCTATAGATAGGATAATATTGAAATTTATGTAATTTAAAATCGTGGTAGTGTAATAATAAATTATTCTCATTCACATTGGCTCATTGCGTTGCACATTGCATTTAAGTATTCACTTTTCAAAATAGGAATTCATGAATAAAAATCAGTGCATTTTTATAATATTTTTTATGTTTTACTTGAGAAGATACAGTTGAGTACTTATTACAGACTTTTAATTAAAAATGCATCCTGAAATTTAGGAAATATTTTCTTGAATTCCAAGAGAAACTTCGTTCTATATTTGTCGAACAGTTGAAGACAAGTATGCAAGACACTTTTTACAAATTTTTTCCGTTATCGAAGTAATCAAATGATGAAATTTTACACACATAACATAATATATGTTAGTAAAAGAGTTTTTTCGCAATAATGGGAATAAAATAACTAAATTTGCATGCGCACCAATGGGTCAAATGTCATATTACTCATTCTTGCAACACATTCTATGTATTTGTGTAAATATGGTCGTCTTTATCGACTTCGTACAACGATAGAAGTATTGAACGATTCCCGAACTACTAAAAAATGTGCCGTAAATCACGTCACTATGTAGGAGACAATAATGTTATTTTTATTTTTATGAAAAATATTATTTAAAATAAATTAAAAATATACAAATTATAGAAAGCATCTTAAATAAAAGAGTGGTATTGTAAGAAAATAGTATTATTACTGTAGAAAGTGGAGTGGCATATAATAATAATATCTTCCTGTGCACGATTCATCACTAGCCATTAAGTCATAAAATAGGGTCTATTTTTTTGTCAT